GATAAGAAACGCAAAGACGAAGAAAAAATCGAAACCAAAAAGAACATGGAATACATTCTTCCATTTCTGTCTGTCTCTCCCGCTCACGCTCCTCTCCCTTTGTAATTACATGCCGTAAAACCAAAATAAATACGCACAGATAAAAAAAGATACACAGATGCAGACACAGACCCGGGCCGGGCCGGGTCCTCTTCTTGCCTGCCTGGGCCAGCCGCCTGGCAAAATGCATTAAAATAAATGCCCTTGCGGGCTCGGTCCAGTCCACGCATTCCCATAAGAAGCACAGCACAAGCGGAACAACAATCAATAAACGTTGTTTAATCAAATGTAAATGTAAATGTTTATACCGCAACCCAGAGATCTCCAAACCGGAGAGAGTTTCACTTTTGTACCTCAATTATGAGAGTGTCGAGTGTTTGTTCTGGCTAAAAACAGAAACAGAAACAGAAACAGAAACACAAACCAGAATGGAACAGAAAACATTGTCTGCCATCTGACCCACATTGGGTTCGTTATCACTGATTTTTATTATCCATTTAAACATACATTTTACTGGTACTCCCGTACCCTGCTTCACACATTTGCACAGCAGAGCCATGAATTTTGGGCATTTCTGTCCATCGGAAAGTGACAGAGAAAACACTTTTTAATGTTACCAAATTAATGGTGAAACATTGTTATGAATGTATAAATTATATTTTAAGTGTTGTTATTTTTGCCTTAATAACTGAACAGAATTCTTAGCTGAAAGTTTCCATTGAAATTGCTTTTAAAATACATTTTTTTGTGCAACTTTTTCTCTGCGTGCAGTTTGGTTTCTGCAATCCCAAATGTCAATTTGCTCTGCTTCTCCCTGTTTCGGTTTCTGTTTCTGTTTCTCTCTCGATCAATAAATGATCAATGGCCCAAAGCATTTCGATTTCAGGCAAAACTCATTTAATTTTGCTTTCTGCTCTGCGCTTGGTAGGCTCTTTATTCTTTTTTTGTAGCTGAGGGCAAAAAAAAAACTACAGAATTCACCTGTAATAACGTCGCAGAAAAAAAGATCCAAAGATCCAGAAGGCAGACAAAAACAAGAATGCCGAATAAAACAGAGAACAAAGACAGGCAGAAGTTGGAGAATTAGCCAGGGAGAGGCAGAGGGAGAGAGACGAACCCGAAATCAGAAAACCAGAAAACCAGATTTCCTACTAATTTAAATTCTTGGCATACAAAAAAATATTCTACCAACAAAAACAACAACAGCAATAGCAACAAAAACACATGAAAGAAGAAAATAAAATGAAATTCGTGTATTGATTAACGAAACGAAGCGAAAAATGCTTTTTATTGGCAGAATATTGGCATGGCAGGGCAGGGCCAAAAGTTCTGGCAGCACCCACTCCCGGGTATCCCCCCTGACTGATGGATTTCCTGCGCTTCCTTTGTCGCTGATGGATTGACATGTTTTGCTCATTCTGTTTAGCGGCTAAAAGCAACATTTCTGCTGGCCAAAAAAGTTCTGCAAACAAAGAAATAAATCCAGAGTTCAAATTTCTCATAGAATTTGCTTGTATTTTTCGAGCACGTGTAAAGTTGTTTACTGAATCAAGCGGATCTATAAGATACACACTCTTATGTACACATATTATGGCTATGTATTTGGCATTATGCTAATCAACTGAAGACACAAATACGCGCCGCTCTACAGCAACAACAAAATCGGCATTAATTATGCATTCGGCTGCCAGTCGGCTGGCTGCCTCTGACCACATTTGATATGAAAACCTCGATTCACATTTTCGAGAAACTGAAAGTTGGCCTAAAAACATAGTTACGATTTGCCCCTGGGCCCTGGAAATTGGAGCTGCTGATATTTGACACAGAAGTGTGTTACAATCCTGAATATTGTGTACTTGGACACGCCCTCACTTGAAACATTTCTAGATTGGCACTGGAACACAGTGGCTGTCTCTCTGACTGAACGAACCCGAAAACGAGTCGCACTTGACTCGCTTAAAGCTAAGCTGACATACAAAAGAAGATCACTCAGTCTTCAGTAGATGGAAGACAGACACAGGCACAGGCACAGGCACAGCTCTGGCTAGAGCCAGTTCCTCCAGAGTGATGAACCTCATCATCATCATGAATCGGGCGGACGTACAATTACCGCACTGTAAGTCGGTACGTACTACGCAGCATCCGCAATAACAAAATGTAAAAATGTAAACGAGCTGCGTGCAAAATCGAACAAAAACAGAGCCACTCCATAGATACAGACAGATACACTCACACAAGTATACATAGATACAAGCCAGAAGAAGCGAGTGGTACATGGTACAGTGCTGCTCTTCATCTGTGCTGCTCTGAGACGACTCCGACGACTCATCTGGAAGCTTGTTTTGTGCTGCGTTGCGCGTCTTTAGCAAGTGATTTCAATTTAATTGACAGTCCTTGAACTTGACTTAAGCGCAACGCAACACAGCAAGACAGCAATAACAATAAAAGCAGCCACAGAGCAGTCCTCTCCTCTTCACTCTCGATTCTCGATTCTCTATTCTTGGGTTCGTTCTCCATTAACGTAGAAGTAGAACTCCTCTCGAGTGAGTCTGAAACAAGATATTATGTGGCCTCTTGCTGGTTGTTTCTCTATAAGTTTAGCTGCTTTGGGAATGATTTATTTATTTTATTTATTTATACTTTATATTCCTACAAGAAACCCAACAAGAAATGCAAGTTAATTTGTGTTTTTGGTGGGAAGAAGAAACCTTTAAAGATTGTCTGACAACTGAAAATTAGCGAAAGAATTGGCTCGTTTCTTTGAAAAATTAGCTCCTACACTCAAAGCAAACATTTTAATTATATTTTTAGGCATGCGACTAATTGGTTTTAGTTATAAACGATTATTATTTCAATGCCCCAACGATCGCCGAAGCCAATGGAACTCTCAGAGCTGCTTTGCACTGCTGCTGCTGCTCCGCTTTTAGGCCATCTTCTTGGCCTGCTTCTGCTACGTCTTGCCTCTGCCTTTGTTGACAAACTTGGAGAGCAGAGACCACACAATAAAGCGGCCAAAGGCAGAAGCAGCAGCAGCAGCCGCGTCGCCGTCTCTGGCCCATTCGCGATTTAGGCACACAGACACAGTGCGAGTGTTTTATTGCTCTGCTCAACGTCAGACAATATTTTTTTGGCAAATAAATCTTTTTTAAAACAGCCAGAGAGTAAGAGAGAGGGACATATATGTATAGACACACAATATGTGTATATGGGAACTACGCACATGCATATACAAATGTACCTAGTATATGGGAACGCATTTGTCTATACATTTAATGTATCATCATCGCATACATAATTTATTTTGAAAGCGTGCGTACGCCACGCATTTTTTGTTCGCTGTCTGTCTGTCTTCGAACCTAGACAAATGGCTGCCCCACAAGACACAGGAATACATAAAATGTACATACATATTTACATAAATACATACAAGTAAATATGTACATCTGCTGTGTAGGCCTTCATTCAGCGCCATCATCGCACCACTCTCAATGAATTTCAACATTTATTGTTTGGATAGAATGAAAAAAAAAAACAAATCAAATCGAATCCAAAGATTCTTGAGTAGAGCCATAAAAATGTACCATTATGACTGGACAACTTCTAAGGCATCGACACGTGTCGCTGAGATTTTATTGTATCTTTTTGTCTCTTTTTCGAAGTTGGACTGCCTTTTGGGTTGGTTTTCTATTTCACATTGTGTATACGCCCCGAGGGCCCGGCCAGCAGGTGACAAAAGATGTAAATGCATAGCTTGATATTCAATAGATAACGCGGCACAGTCATCCCCCCTCGAGGCGCAGGTAAATGAAATCTAAATCGAATCGGAGGAGACCTAAGCGACGGCAGCGCCACATGCAAACAACTTTCACCCGCAAATGATCTACACTGGGTAGGCAGACAAATAGACACACAGACAGGACAGACATTCAGACAGACTTTCGCATTGAGATCTCTCGCTGGCCGAGGGCCACGCATACATCTAATTACGGCACGCGAAATTTGTGATTAGAAATCAGTTCTCGTCGCAAAGAATTGTGAGAGTCCCATCCAGAGCTGTATGTACAGCTCGTATATATCAGCATTTACTTTCACAATCATCAAAATTCAAGTTCATGGCAAGCCGTTCAGCATTTGGCAAACGCTTTTTGTGTGTTGTTTCTTTTTTTCCAAGTACTAATCAATGACGATGTGGTTCGCTATCTCCAATGCCGATAACTGAAGCCAAATCTATGCACGACAAAATATCTCAAAGAATTGTGCGTGTGGGTTGCGGCAACGGGGAGAGGGGAGAAGCGCACGGGAAAACTAAAATCTTATTTGTTTGATTTCTTTCGTTTCTGTGTCAACGAACTCATTTGAACTGAATTCTGAATTCATATGATTTTACGATCGTTGTTGCTTTCTTGATAGTTTCTTTGTCTGTGTGGTGTGTGGTTTTTTATAGAGCTCTTTTTTTGTTACCGTTATCTCAATGCTTGTTGCGTAGGCCAGGCCAAGTCGATTCGAATGCGTTAAGAAAAGAAAAGTTATTGCGTCGGACAGGGCGCGCCCCCTTTTAGAGCTGATTGGAAGCAGATTAGTTGGTGAGGCACAAAGAGACTCCAAAAGTCGCTTGAAGTCTTCTTCGAGAGTGTTTTACACTTTCCTAAAGCTGAAATGTGCATCCAAAGGAATCCTTGATGGTTACCCAAATACATCGCTCAACCTTCGAGCGTTCGTGTCGCCGTGTAGTCTGAAAAAGAAAACCTACAACGAAATTGAAATGACTTTGTAGCAAATATTGTATATACTCATGTGAACTTGATAAGGAATCCCGGCTTGGGGATGCACCTTTTCGCAGAAAAAGCACCCGCTGTGGCCTGATAAGAGACAATTTCATCTCCAAATAGGATTCCCCGTCCAGAGGTAAATCCCATTGGCAATTCTGTTGCTCCCTTGCTACTATAAAAGCTGCAAACGATCCCTAGATCGACATCAGTTTTATTCCACCATCTGTCTAGGAAAGATGTCTTCCAACAAGTGCACCATCGTCTTCGTCCTCGCTTGCTGTCTGCTGGCTCTGGCGTCTGCCTATCCCCAGCCGGAACCCGAGGAGTATCTGCCCCTGGTGCGCCATGTGCGCTCTCCCGAAGGTGGTTCAGTGGTTTTCGAGGCAGGCAAGGATGCGCAGAGAGGGCGCGAGGCCAGCGTGCAGTACAATCACAATCTGTACACCAGTCGCGATGGGCGTGGCAGTGTCGATGCCCAGGCCCATGCAAGCCGCAACTTTGATTACAATCGCAACGACTATGGCGGCGGCATTCAGGCATCCTGGAAGTTCTAAGCAAGGATTGCATTTAGAATAAAGACAAGTTAAATTATACAATCAAATAATTCCACTCGGGATGGGAACTCTGTCTTGGACTTCTCTGTAATTTCTGTGTGTGGTTTCCCAGGCGCCAACTCAACTGAAAACATCACAAAATGAGGGATCAACAATGGGGGAGAAAATAACACTTCTTGCAGCCGAACTATGGCATACCCTGGCATTCCGTGTGAGCGCATTACCCACACCCAATACCCCTTCTTCCGTTGTCAAGTGATTGGGACAACAGATGTACCCTTCTGCACGGTGGGTAAGGGGCAAGCTAAGAAGTACTAAAAAGTCATGAGTTGTCGTCGCCTGGAGGGGTCAATGCACTTCCCTTCCCAACGACTTCCCCCGGCCACCTCCCCGCACTGCTGGCGTCGTTGTGTAACCAATAAAAATTGATTCTGTTGCGTGCGGGGGGAATGGAACACACAAACACACACACCGAGAGCGAGGGAGAAAGAGGGAGACAAACACTATAAGAAAGTCATTCAAGGGTCCGTCTGTGCGCTGCTGTTGCCATTGCCACTGTTGTTGCTGCTTCTTCTCTGCTACTTCGCTGCTGCTGCTGCTGCTGCAATTGGGGTTGGCATTGGCGTCGGCTGCACTTTATCGTTTCTTCTTTATCTACTTAGAACGGGTGTGCGTGCGTGTGTGAGTGTGTTTGCGCATGAGAGCGTGGGTGGGTGCTTCTGCTGCTGCGTTGCATGACTAACTGTAATTACTTTCGCTTTCCGTGTGACCAGCTGGCCAATCAATAAAAATACCAAACGCTAGTCAAGAATGAGATACACTGAACGAAAAAGTGGGAATATTAACAATTTAAATTACTTTTCTTTTTAAATTACTCTTCCGTTGCAAAGGCTTTTCTTTCGGTGCACACGAAATACTGGTATTTGACCCGCATGCACTTTTTGGTGGGGGATCTCCTTAAAGTTTTGCTGTTGCGGGAAAGCGACAACAAAGGCATCGTTAATGAAAACCCACGAAAAGGAAAACGAAAATAAAAATAAAATACAGACAACAACAAAAGGCACTGCGCATACGAAAATGACTTTCCATTTTCATTTAACAATAAGCAATCAATTGCAAGTTCATGGCACGGCTAACGATCTATTAGAAGAAAGTAAAAACAACTAACGAAAGGAGCGACAGAGAGAGATAGAGTAATAGACAGAGGGGAGCAACGAAAGGAAGCACAGAAACAAAAGAGACAAGGCTGAGACGCCTACACTGAGACTGAGACTGAGACTGAGAGTGAGACACTCAGATGTAGCAGACAGACTCCCCAACTGGTTTTTCATTTTGACTCGGAAAAACCACACATTGGCATTGCCCCGTTGCCATTTTTAGTGGCAAAAACTGACTGCATCATAATGAAAGTGAAATGCATTGCAAAGATGGCAGTTACCAGATGCAGCACGGACAGAGAGAGAGAGAGACACAGACAGAAAGAAAGAAAGAAAGAAAGAGAGGCAGAGCCAGTGGCAGTGCCAGAGAGTGGCAAGTAAGTCAAGTGCAGCAGCACCGACAGCAGCAGCAGTTGTTGCAACATGAAGTGCTGCCACCATAAACGAGCTGCAAACTTGGATTGGAATGTGCGCGCGCGTCACCGACAACTCCATCGAGCATCGCACATCGCACATCGCACATCGTTGGCAACTCGTCTCCCGGCCCGTGGCGCCTACTGGCTCACTTATTTGGCTTATTGAGTTAATTGGCTAAATGCTCGAAAGAGGGTTAAGCAAGCACAAGTGGCTAAATTATGTCAACAGCAAGCAGCAGCAGCATGTACAACGCATACCTACATACACAATACATAAAGCACACGTACTGTACATATGCTTGTACATACATTCATACTCGTACATAACTCCCCATCTGCAAGCCAGTCCACTGTTCAATGTCAGATCAGCAGCCCCGAAGGTCATTGTCGGTTGCAGCGATCGCATTCGCATTCCGTTTTCTCTCTCCCTCTCTCTCAGCATGGGATACACACATTTGCAGGCCTCTCTACACAGCATATGTATGCATGTATGTATGTATGTACGAGCATGTACTTGCTTATGTCTGAAGTTCTGTGTTGCTGTAATTGATTCCAATAACATGAACGGCCACTCGCGGCCCTTTGCATTTGCGGTAGGGCCAAGCCACCAAGTTCATCTATTCATCTCAATCTGCATGTCGTAAACTTCAATATTACCCATCATAGATGATAAAAGCTCATCCTCGTGTTTGTGTTATCTTCATAATATTTTTGTATAATTTATGGAACGCAGTGGGTTTCCCCAACTGCAGCTGCAGTTTCTCTTCTGCATATTTGATGCGCCTGCTCGCGGCTCAATCAAGTCACAATAAATTAACCTCTATTTGTAAGCCAAGTGAATAATGCAAACAGCTAACAGACTGCAGACTACAGACAGCCAAACACAATGCAACATCAATTCACTGCTATTTTTTGTTGCTTTGTTTTTTGTTTTGTTTTTGTTTGTTTTTCGGTTACATTTCACTGATTTTGAAAGTGAACGCTGGTCCAGGCTGCAGCAGGCTGCAGCAGGCGGAATCACGACTTTGTGGGCAGAGCCGGGGTCGGACTCCAATGTCTTTCGCTCACTTGCAGTGGAAGTGCTGGTAGTACAGCTGCAGTTGGCTAAGATATTTATCTATTAAGCGGATAATGGGAGGATTAAGAATGAATACGAGGCTTTCCCTGTTACGTTTAAGCAATTTTTCTGAGGAATATTAAGGGTACCATTTAAACGGATACTTCCATCTTCTCTTAACATCTTCTGTTGCTGCTATCCACATGTCCTCTGCTGTTAGTGTTATCTCTCTGTTACTGCCACTGCTACTGGCCCATGCCGCCGTTTGTTGCTGCTGCTGCTGCTGCTGCGTGGGTGAAATCCAAACAGACATAAATTTGGCGTCGTGTAGTTGTAGCTGCCGTTTTTTTTTTTTACTTACTTTTCCACCTCGAGCAAATGAAGCGAAACGTGGGTTACGGTTTTACTTGATTTTTCGGCTTGCAGCCAGCTCTACGTGTATATTTGTACATGTTCAACATCCAATCCACAGCTGCTGCATATCTTTTTGAGTTACATATTTGCCACGTCTCTGTGGGGCCGGATAGACAACGACAGCGACAGCGACGGCGACGGCGACTATGTGAACGGCGGCTGCGTAGGCAGGCAGTTGGCAGTCAGCCTCTCTGTGCATCAGGTTGACCCAGTTTTCGCTTTCTGTCTTCGTTTTGGCTATCTTTTTTTGTGAAAATTATACGATATGCAACTCTAAGTAGACTTGTTTCATGTTTGTTCGTTAATTTATGGCACTCACTGTGCCAGGGAGCCTCTACTAGCCCAGCAGCCTCCCCCCTGTGGCAGCTCTCAATCAATTTAGCACACATTTTTGCGAGCCTGGACGCACAATGTGCTCCAGCGCATTTATTCTATTAAATGCTACGTAACTCGGTGGCAAGTCACACAATGCAAGCCATCAAAATTCCCACTAAACTAGTTTTTGACATCCATTCTTTTCTTTTCCTTCTCCTTTCTCGTTTCATCTTTTGTGTGCCTGTTGCGTACATACGCTACAATGTTGCAGATTCTACTTTGCAAATGCACCGATTTGAGATACAATGTTGAAAGTAGTAAATCCTCACATTTGACTATACTATTTATCATGATTACATAGAGTGTTTGACGGCACACAGCTGGGAGTATACGTTATGCGAGAGTGTAGGGAGTGGTGCTGTAATAATTCCTGCTACAACTATGACAACTGATGATTAATGTTCAAAGTTAGAAGTTAGCAGAAGCAGCAAGCTTTACTTTGGCACTTTCTTTCAATAGAATATTCAGAGATTATTGAAAATAATTAATGGATAATGGAACATTTCTATGGTAGCTTTATCGACTCTTTCCAGTTCTCTTTCATGCGTTTACTGCTGTGAAAATGTTTAGTTTTTACGAACATTTTTAGGCATTTCATAATCGAAATCTAAATTTAAATTACTCAAATCTAAAAATAGCTGCCACAAGTGCATATAAATGCCATACATAAATAAGAATTTGCTGTGTTTTTGTATATTTTATAGACCTCTCTCTCTCTCTCGCATTTGGCTCTTTCCCTTCACTCAAGCAAACTCATTAAATAATTCACACACAAATGAGAGCTAAAACAGACGCCCCCGACCAGCACAATTGCCCAGACTCGTACTCGTATTCGCATTCGTACCACCCCTCCCCAATTGATTCGCTAAATAGCCAACATGTTGCGCTTTATGATACTATTTGCATTTTTCAACAACAACAACTGCAACTGCAGCAGCCACAGACAAAATTGCAACAAATTGGAATTGGCCGTTGCAATGTGGGTTGGGTTGGCCGCATGCCGCACACACACACAAATAAACACATGAAATGGTAGATGAGAGGAGAGGAGCAGCCGTAACAACAGGCAGAAAAGTCAATGCACTTTGCACACACACACGAGAAAGTGCAGCAAGAGCGATAGAGAGAGAGAGAGAGAGAGAGACCGTTAGATACAGCCATTTGTGTGCGTGCTTCGATTTTGCAATAATTTCGTTTTCATTTCAAATTGGAATTTCCATTGGAAACTCTCTGGGGAGGCGCAAACACACACACACACGCACACGCAGAGTGTGAGATCTAAAAATAGGATTCTGCAACGGAACTGCCAATTCCATCTAATCGGTTTCTGTTCTCTCACGCTTTGGGTTACAGTTAAATTTGTCTTGTGGCTTGCCATTCCTTTTAAATCCCTGTCTAGACGTAAATGCGCAATATGTTTTCTGTTGTCTGCCATTTAATACATTTACATTTGAAGAGAGAAAGCTTTTTGGGGGTTGTATTTTTTGGCACGTTTTCTTTGTCACAGACACTCAAGCATTTGTTGTCGTAGGTCAAAGTATGAGATGGGGGATGTAAGTGTGCGTCAGCAAAGGACGAGAGAGTGAGAAAGAGATGTGCAGCCAAAGAAGATGTCTGCTCAGAGCAGCTTTTAATC